GGAGCAACGGGGGGGGGGGCACACCCACCCCCCCCCCCCGTCACAGTCCCTGACAAAAACTACGGTTCCTGCTTTAATTTTCTCTTGCTTTGACTATGGCGGTCACCTCCTCTTGGGATACAGCTAGAATGGGGAGTCGATCTGTCCTATTTATTGGACAGCGGGGTGATTTCAGATGCCGAATGACATTAGCAGGCGAATGACAATAGCGGGTGAACCCGCTATTGTCATTCGCCTGCTAATGTCATTCGGCATCTGAAATCACCCCGCTGTCCAATAAATAGGACAGATCTAGCTGTCTCTGAAGAAGTGAGCAGTGACTCGGGAAATCTCGCGTATTTTGTCAGTCTTGAAGGTGCTCCTGGACGCTTGCTCTTTTCTACCGCTGCAGACAGACTCACACGGCTCTGCCCATCTCGATCTCCCATCTCTTGGATCCTCCACAATTGCACGGCAGCTACCTGATCTCAGCAGTCAAAATCATTCGGTCCTTTCCTCCTTCCCCACCTCCAGCCCAGACTCTTTGGCTTCTCCGCCAAGCCCGTTCATGGCCTTGCTCTCTCCACTTTCCATTGGCACACCCGGAACCATCGCGGTCGCCCTTTCGGCTCTGCCACCCCAGCCGTCCTGTACCGTTCACTTTGTTCTTCCTTGATTCCCCTTAGACCCAGAACGGCCTTCCCACAGCCCCTACATGATACTGCCCCGTTACTATTTCCATGAAGCACTGGCACAATCTCTCAATTCCCCGTCCCCTACAAGGTAAGTCGAACGTGCAGTCCATGCAACCAGCCCATGTAGTGGCCCCTGAAATGAATGCTGATGCCAGCCTCCATCTCCCTGGTGTCAAAACTGGCATCTCCTACTTGGTGAAAGCACCATGCACGAGCTGATGGTGCTATGAGGAGCAGTTCTTGGACAGGCCACCGGGGGCACTGCAGCAAGAGGGGAAGAGACCTGTACAGGAAGAGGAAACTTAATAGAAGAATGACTGGTGGGAGCAGAGGAATCAGCAGATATTCTCCACCACTTCAACTAAAACAGGAACTTTCGTTCTGGCTGGATCCCTTGGGCAGGGGGACTGTCTGCAAGGACCTTGATGGGCAAGAACTACGATGTGTGGGAAGGAAGACCCTCGGCAGCCCCTCGAGGACAGAGGTGGCTCAACAACCACCTTCAAGAAAGGCAGTCACGGTGTGGGTGGCGACTCCCCTGAGAGAGAGAGACAGAGACAGAGAGAGAGACAGAGAGAGAGAGACAGAGACACAGAGAGAGGCGGCTTCCTGCCATCTCCCATCCAGGACACAATGGGACAGGTTGCCAAAACTTATCGAGCTCGCTGATCGTTACTGTTCCCCCTCATCGACTTGGGAACAAACACCCCTGCGAGACGCGGCTATGGGTGTAGGACAACTGTAGGATTCTCCAGGGAAGAAGATGGGCTCAAAGGTCCTCTAGGGAAGGAGATGAAAGACATTGGGTCTCAAGTTGTGCCTCTGTCAAGTTTTCCCTGTAAGAGACGGAGGACATTAAAACGAGAAGAGAGGACGACGTCCGGTGGATGACATGGCTATGCAGATGGCGTCATGGAGAGAGGTCCGGTTTTCAGGGACTGCAATCCAGAGCTTCCTTAACAAAAGACTACTGGCAAGAGATGAGCTACACCTTGTCAGGAGCGAGAATGTGTCTGGCAGAGAGTCTGGCCACTCAGATCAAGAAGGCTTTGATCTAAATCCTGAGTGGGAAGAAGACATGAGCCTGAAGAGGGAACACAATGATAAGTACTATGAGTGTTGGACTAGATGGGCCACTGGCCTGACCCAGTGTGGCTTCTCTTACATTCTTAAGCACTACAGGTGGGGATTTGGGATGAGAAGGGCTACAGGAAGAACGGAAGGGTTTCCTGAGAAACCTTGTAACAGAAGCACAAGTCAGACAGGGGAAGCACCTTAGCAGTGGCTTTCAGTGTCTAGACAACAATGCTCATTGCATATGAAAACAAGACGGTGAGAATGAACTCCTAGCTGAAGAGGGTAGGGAGGACTTCAGCCGCTTCAATCAAGACATGGTCAGATGACCCTCATGTTTGGAATGTAGCCAGTTAAGGAGACGCCTTGTTCAAAAAGAATAGATGCAGCAGTAAAAAGGAGGAGGCTAGCATTGTGTGTCCCCCCCCCCAAAAAAAGGTTTGCGCCTGCCCACAAATCCACAAGAACGAACACGGCAGACCCGTGTAGATCTGCATGGAGAAAAGCCATTAAGGTTAGATGGTTCAAGGAAGCAAGACTACCGGGGTATACCAGGAGAGAATACCAGGGTACCAAGAATAGCAGGGTACCAGGCAACAGAGACCAGGGTGGGTGAATTATCTCATTATTTCTAACTCAGCTAAGCATGGAATTGCCAATAAATTCCTGACAAACTCACTCTTTCAGAAGGTGGGATGAGGAATGAGGGGATCGGCTATCCTGGACTTGATCCTAAAGAACAGAGAAAAGGCGGTCAAAGGAGGTGGGAGCAGTGAGGACTTGGGGGAAAGCGACCACATAACGCTGGAATTCTTGATTTTCATGGAGAGCTTGAGGTAAGAGCGACCGACAAGTACCCTGAACCTTCAGGAAAGCTGATTTTAGTAAACTCGGAGAAAATGCCAAGTGAGATTGCACAGCGGGATAATCTACCAGAGTCAAAGGCTTACCTGAAAACTGAATTACTGAAGGCATGATCACCAAGGAAAATCGGAGATACCTAAAGACGACATGGTGGCCGCCTAAAAAGCTCAGTGACTGGCTGAAAAATCAAAACTGACATCTGGGTCACTAGAAAAGGCTACAGCTGAATGCCTTGGGCTTGTAGGGGCGGAGTCCGGAATCCTGAAGTTCAGGGGAGCTGAGGCCGGCCAGGGAGGTGAAGCAGGACGTGCTGGTAGGCAAGAGCAGCATAGCCAAGGAGGCCCTTCAAGCTGCCCCCGCCCCAGGACGGAAGCCGGATTTGCTTAGAACTGCCACTTTTCCAGACACACTGCTCGGCACTCTGTACGTGCACTAGCTATGCTGGGCTTGGAACCCTCCCTTGCTTGGATTTGTTGAGCTGGCATTGCCACAGTGGCACTGGTTCTGCTGGGCACTCTACACACACTGGCTGTGCTGGACACTCTATACATGCACTGGTTCCACTGGGCACTGTATACATGCACTGGCTGTGCTATGCTTGCACCCCTCCCCCTGCTTGGATTTGTTGAGCTGGCACTGCCTCAGTGGCACTGGTTCTGCTGGGCACTCTGTACATGCATTGACTGTGCTAGACTTGCAACCCCGACCAATGCTTGCAGAGATGTTCCACCAGGCCTCTGGTTGAGGACAGCAACAGTTGACATCAAGCCTGGCCTCCTTTATCCTTCATCTCTCGGCCCCTCCAAGTGGAAGGACACAAACACTTTTAATGCCATCTGGAATAGTTTGCTGCTGTTGTTTAAATTTTTAACTTTGCGTGATTGTCTTTACTGGAATGATATAGAGTACTTATTTAATGTTGTCAACTGCCCAGAGCCCTATTTGGGGGGAGGGCGGTCTAGAAATCAAATCAATAAATAAATAATAAGTGCACTGGTTCTGCTGGGCACTCTGTACATGCACCGGCTATGCTAGGCTTGCTTGGATTTGTTGAGCTGGCACTGCCACAGTGGCACTGGTTCTGCAAAAATCCCCCACCCCTTCAGTTTCTACTGCAGAGATTCTCTGGTTTGACATCAGTCCCTGCTTTTTTGCTGTTTTTTCCCTTCACTAGAAATAATGGAGGATGGGTGCACCTTTTCTGGGGGCACATAGAACTGGACCCCCTGGTTGAATCTTTTTGAAACCTGGAAGGTCTTTTGAGCAGAGACACCAGGAGCTATGTTGAAAATTTGGTGCTTCTACCTCAAAAATAGCCCCCCCCCCCCGATACGCTGGGGATTCCCCATTATAGCCTAAGGGGATCTTGGTCCCCATAGGCTATAATAGAGTCAAAGGCATTTAAAGGTGTCACAGTCCTTTTAAGTGCATTAGTGAAGCTGCAGCTTCACCTGGACCAGTGTTTAAAGGGAGTGCACTCTCTTTAAATGACGTTTAACTGTGGCTATCCTATTTTCCCGAATAATCTTGAATTCTTTGGGATTATCTGGGACTGGTTATGCTTCATAGCTGAAAATACAGCCCCCTCTATATCCATCATAAAGAACAGCCGATAAATACTGATAACATATTTTCCAGCTATTTTTCTTCCTGCTCGGATAGAGGCGAACACACACCCCTATGGATTAATTCAGGGCTCTTTTTGTAGAAAAAGCCCAGCAAGAACTCATTAGCATAATAGGCCACACCCAACAGCAAGAACTCATTAGCATAATAGGCCACACCCAACAGCAGGAACTCATTAGCATATTGGGCCACACCCCTGACAGCACAGCTCATTAGCACATTAGGCCACACCCCCATGTTACCAGAAGTGTGGTTATCCAGCCACACCCACCTTTTGCTTGTTATTCGGTTTACCTTGTTTGTTGTCAAAACCCAGGGCCTTTTATTGTAGCAGGAACTCCTTTGCATGTTAGGCCACACACCCCTAATGTAGCCAATCCTAATGAGTTTCTGCCGTTTGGTGTGGCCTATTATGCTAATGAGTTCCTGCTGGGTGTGGCCGACTTGGGAGCCAGCCGGAACTCCGTTCCTGTGCGTTCCTGCCCAAAAATAGCCCTGGATTAATTTAGTTTTTATTTATTGGCAGTCCAAGTTGAGATTTTAAATTGTGGTCTTCCGTGTACTCTTTATAATCGTCATTGTATTTACGTAGAAAGCTGCCTGCAGCACTGCAAGGTAGGAAGGAGGCTAATAAATGTTTTAAACAAATAAATAAGTTATTGGCAGACAAAGGCAGGGAGCCCCACAAGCACTGCGGGCAAGACATGCCCAGCCTCTGCCCCACTGCTCAGGGCTCAGCAGGGCACAGCTCTGGAAGAGGGAAGCTGGAACGGACCATACCTGGGCACACCTGGAGGGATGCCAGGCGGAACACGTGCTGGTCGTGAAGGAATCTGAGGCGGCGCTGAGAAAGGGTCGTTGTTCGCAGTGAAGGCGCTCTGAGGTCCAGGGCGTGAAGGAATGGGTGGTGCCACAAAGTTAGAGCTGCTTGCTGCTGCGGGTACTGGAATCAAGGGGGGCCCCGGCATGGGGCCCCTCACCGCTGGGGGTCTCCCTGGGGGCAACACTGTAGAAGTGGGCCTGCGTTGGGGTGTCGGGCTGCAAAGTGGAGGGAGGGAAAAGGAGTATCAGAACTGGTAAAGTGAGTGCGGTTTCATTCGCTTTATGATGTTCATAGCCTTTCTGCCCTCACAAGGACGGCTACCTGATTAAACTGTACGTATAGACGGCAGGGACCTCAAAAACAAAGCCAATAATGAGCTATAACCCAAGATGTCAGCGTCACCAGGGGTCATTTCGTAGAAAAAGAGGTGCAGGAGCTCATTAGCATCTTATTTGCATGTGCCACACCCCTTGACATCACCGGAAGTGTGTCAGAAGGCAACACCCACCGCTCAGGCTCCACTGGACTGTTTTGGATTGCTAGCTATTGGGGGGGGGGAACGTGCAGATCTGTCCTCGCAGAGGAGGGAGAGCTTCTACCTGAATAAAACCTGGTCTTAAAGGTGCCACTGGACTGTTTTGGACCAGGGGGGCCAGAGGGGGGCTCTGCAGCTTACCTGGCTGCTTCTTGCTCTGACCGAGGGCTGCTGAGAGCAGGGGGTGGGGCTTGTTGCATGTGCCTGCCCCCTGGGCTCTTTACTGCTGGAGCTCTGCTCCTGTGCGCTCCTGCAGGAAATTACCTCTGAGCATCGCTATTTGCCTAAAAATCAAGTTTGGAAAACCAGCCCCAGAACAGAGAAATGTTGCTGGAGACTTCTGTCTCCACGGGAAGAATGACAGGGCAAAAAAGTCCTCTGGGACTCTGTATGTAGTTCAGCACTGAAACTGTACCGGGCTGAGCCAGACAGCCACCCCCTCATTTCTTCCTGCAGTTCAGAAAGGAAGATTCAGGTGCGTAGCTGTGCTGGTCTGAAGTGACAGAACCAAGTTTGAGTCCAGTGGCATGTAGCTTAAAAAGTGTGCACACGTATACCCAGCATTAAACGCTGTTGGCCTCAAAGGTGCCACTGGACTGTCAGACATGCACACGAAAGCGTCTACACAGAATTAAACTCTGTTCGCCCTAAAGGTGCCATTGGACTCGAACTTTGTTCAGAAACAAAGAAACTCTGAACACCTCACACTCTTTGTACCTTGAAACGTGAGACCTAGGCTGGTTTTCATAGTCCACTGCTAAACTAAGAGTGGCAGTCCTCAAACGGAAATGTTCCAAGGGGAGATTACAACGTGAGACTGCTGAACCTGAGTTCATTCACAAATTCAGAACAATGGACACGCCCCCTTCCCCAAGCCTCAGCAGGGACACAGAATTCTTATCTCACTACAGATGCTAATTTTCCACCCTCTGTTCTAATCAAGCTGAATACAACATGCATTGTACCTCTGCATCCCGAGTTCCTCCTTTGCAACACCCCTCCCCTCCTCAGACTGGGACAGAAGGACTCAGTGATCCACATTCCCACTTGTATCTGATAAAGGGAGCTCTGACGCGTGAAGGCATAGACCCCAGTGCTGCTACTGGACCCAAATCTGGGTATCTCACATACCTTTTTTAAAAACCACCACCCCAACTCACCTGTGCCCGCTGCTCGATGACTGCAGCCACGTGTCGTCCACAGGTGGGGGAACCGGGGTGGACACGGTGCTGGTACTGATGTCCCCAATTATGTGCAGCGCCTCCTTCAAGGCGTGGTACATCCGCAGCATGTCGTCCCGACGCTGCGCCTGGTCGGCGGACTCCTCCATCAAGCTGTTTTGGTCTGCGGAGGAGTACAGGTAGGCCAAAAGCTCTGAATGGATGAAGTCCTTGGTCTGGATGGGCACACAGAAGCAGTAAAGCATGTGGAGTCAGAGAGGGCGGAATGAATGAACGAAGCCACCCGTTTAAAGCTACAGTGAAGGGCAAAAACGCCAACCTAGATCCACTCTTGGTCATCCACTTGAACTGCTGTAGTTGCAAGCAAAAGGTCATTATGGGAGCCCATGCGGTTCGCAACAACCCCAAATACTCTTCTTTTGCCAGCTGAGGTCTCAAAAATGTAAGGGCGACTGTAGAGGCTCGGGGGAAAGTCTATTGCAAATTTTTAGTACCGCGGGGTTTAAAAACATTTTAGATGAATCCATTTGTAATCAGGCACTGCACCAACAGCTAGGAGTTCAGTGGGCTAGAAGAGGAACGGGGGGTGCTGGCAGACGCAGCTAGCATGGCGCAGCACTGTCAGAACATGAGTCCTGCCCTGCATGTGCATTTTAATGATGCCATTAATGCACTGCAGAGGCCACTGCTATGCACCCTTGTTCCTAAATGCAGGGCTGGATCCCTCCCTCATCTTGCTGACTTGTGTTGTCTCAGGAGAACAGAACACTTGCCCCAAGACATATCTGCTTCCAGGCTTGTGTCTTTTGTAGCTGAACAGGGGCTCCTTTGAGACCAACAAAGGTTAATGCTGGGTATAACTGGAAGAAGCCTGTGTGCACATGGATGCTAATGCCCAGAATCGAACTTTGCTGGTCTCAAAGGGGCCACTGGAATCAAACTGTTCCGTTGCTTCAGGCCAACACGGCCACCCACCTGGACCCTTCTTTTCTATCCATCATCTACTGGCTTTGCGACCGCATTTCCTCCTCACTCGAACCATTCCCTCTAACCCAAAGGAAAAGATCCAAGGAAAACAAGGGGTCATCATGCAGGCCGGTGGCGGCTGTACTGAGAACCTCCCGAGATTTACGTACTGTCTGGATCCAGCCTCAAGCAGTGGCCAGCCAGATACTCACTGAAAAGGCCTATAAGCTGGGGTGTGTGTGTGTCAGAGCTTCCCCCTATTGCTACCCCCCCCCAGTCTCCAGCCTTTGAACACAGAGGCTCCATTTAGTTATTGTGAAGAGCCACCGATGGAACTGCCCCCACGGATCTGTCTAGTCCAGTGTGCCATAGCGGTTAAGAGAGCTGAACTAGTGTCTAGGAGACCCGGGTTCGAAACCCCACTCATGACATGGAAGATCACTGAGTGATCTTGGGCCAGTCATGCTGTCTCAGCATATCCTACCTCACAGCCTTCGACAACGTATTGAACTACCTCACAGGGTTGTTGTGAGGATAAAATGGAGGAAAGGAGAATGGTGTAAGCTGCTTCGGGTCCCTACTAGGGAGGAAGGCGGAGCACAAGTGAAGTAAGTGAGTAAATTAATAATACCCCGAACGTGAAATGAACACGCTACATGAGACGGATTTTCGGCTTTTGTAAGACCACAAAGGGACGGGGGGAGTTAGGATTTACATGCTTTCACTTTAACTCTTCTCTCAAACAGAAGGCTGCTCTTGTTTTTAAACCTAGAATACATAGTTACTTAATTGAAAATCGCTTACCTACACAGAACCTATGTCCCTATTCTATATTGGTTCCATTTAAATTGTAGAAAAGAGCAGGAGTCCAGTGTAGCACCTTCAAGACTAACAAAATTTGTGGCAGGGGAGGAGCTTTCGCGAGTCACAAAGCGCACACCCTGCCACAAACTCTGTTAGTCTTGAAGGTGCTACACTGGACTCCTGCTCTTTTCTACTGCCACCATCTTGGTCTACTTAAATTGTGTTTCAGTGGATTCCAGGCAAGAATCTCTACTAAAATTGGGTCTCGTGCAATTTCCCGCTGCAGGAGATCGACCAAGGCTGATGTCAGATGGGATGAAACGAGGCACAAGATCAGCCGGCAACTGTGGAGCTTCCTTTCGGGTGGGGTTAGCTGTGTTAGTCTGCAGTGGCAATGCCGTAAGCGGCCATCACGTCTCAGCCAACTGATGGGGACCCCTCACGGGGTTTCCAAGGGAAGACATGTGCAAAGGTGGCTGGCCATCGCCTGCCTCTGTGTTGCGACCCTGGGCTTCCCTGGCGGTCTCCCAACCAAGGACTCACCAGAGCCGGCCCTGCTGAGCTCCCACGGTCTGACGGGGTCGGGCCATCCTGGGCCATCCAGGCCAGGGCATCGGGGTGCCCGTAGAGTGCTGTCAGGTCAAAACTGACTGATGGTGCCCTGCAGAGTTTTCAATGCAAGAGACATTCCTCTGTGTAGCAGCCCTGCACCTAATTGGTGGTCTCCCATCCAAGGGCTACCCAGGGCGGGCCCTGTTTTGCTCCCCAGATCTGATGAGACTGGGCTGGCCTGGATCATCCCGTTGCGACTGGGGAACTTCTTGGCAGCCTCCCATCCAAACGCTCACCGGGGCCAGCCCTGTTGAGCTTCTGAGCTCTGACGAGAACAGGCTCAGCCTGGCCAACCCAGGGGAGGGGAGTCCCGAGGGGCCAGACTCATTCGTTACGAGGGCCGGATTTTTAAAATACTCTGTAACTTAAAATGCCTTATATTTTGTCATAACAAGAGGAACATATATATTACAGATTCCTGATGACTTGTCAAGCACTTCGTGAATACAGAGAGCTTTTGTACTACTCTGTAAGTAAGACTGTGTTGTTGTTGTTGTTCAGTCGCACGGTCGAGTCTGACTCTTCGCGACCAGGAAGACTGTACCAGGATTTTATACTGTTTTCTACTGTTTACATAGTATATACTCTAAAGGGATTGTATTTTTGTACACTACAGAATATCTCCTGAGGAAGATCCAATTTTGAAACACTGTTATATAATCCGGATTCTCGTATGACTTATTAATGATGTTGTAGTGCTTTAGATTATAATGCATAGGAAGCTTTTTCTTTGCAAGTCTTGGTGACTGCTCGATTTGTGGGTCAGACTCTCACGACTGTTGGGTCGTGTTTGTCCATATTTATCCCATAAAATGCAACGCCAGGCACTGGAGATATAAACTTCATAAAGGACACCAGAAACCCCAGTTAACAGCAAAAAAATAAAAAATAACAAAAATTTCCTCTGCAGGGCATTATTTTTCCTTGCTCTCCTTCTGGATCCCCCCCCCCTTTTTTGCCCTTTGAAAAAATAAAAAGCCCATCTCCAAAGTGGTTCTAATGCTAAAGTCACACAGAACGGAGCCGGGAGCGGCTCGCCCGGGTCAGGGGAAGCATGGGGGAGGAGGCACATCCCCCGTTGGTGGCTTGCAGCTGCCGCTGCTGGCTTGTTTGCCTGGGCCTGGCTGCTCTGCTCTCACGGTTCCGGAAAGCTGGTTCCTGACTCGAGCGGAGGGCTCTGTTCTTATTTACTGTGTGGCCGTGTTGCACACTATGCCTGTTGCATGGGGCTGGTGGGCTGGTGAGAGAGAGAGAAGTGAGGGACGGACAGACTCACTCACTCCCTGTCAAACCTCACTCTGCTTAGTTTGCCATAGATGCTGGGGGAAGGGTATTCCTGCAGGGAGGGGAGTGAGTGTGGTGGGAGTGGGGCCTATCCCTTATAGAGGCAGTAGTTTTCCTGAAGACACCCTCCTCTGGGAGAGGAATGACCTTGAGCCTTTCTGTGCTGGCTTTCGCATAGATAGTGGGGATCATATGTTCCCAAGGGGGGTTCAGCAACGGCTAGGCGGGACGAGTGGATTGCATGATTGGTTGGGGCAAGGGGGTCTTGCTTGAATTATTTATATCTGCTTTGGTGCGCGCCAAATCGCCAGTTCTAGCACAGTACCGTTCTGATCTGGATCACGCATATATCTCAATAAACGTATCACTGCCAAAGAGAGTGTTGCCGAGAGTAACTTGACCAGGAATCTGACACTTCCCCACCTGCCTACAGTGGGGGAACCCTTTAACCTGCAGTCACAGAACAAAATTCAGGTCCAGTAACACCTTAAGAGATCTGCAACTTTCCCCCAGGGCACAAGCTCTCACAACTCAAAGCTCACTTCATCAGATACCGTATGCGTGAAAGCGTAATAACCTGTGGGCTCCAAGGTGCTTTTGGACTTCAGTCCTGTCCGATCGTGAGGCTAAAACAGGCGGGCAGGCGGGATCAGCCGCCAAAGTGGTGGAAGAAGGACTCTATGGCATTACAACCTGCTGAGATTCCTCCACAGGCTCTACCCACAAATCTCCAGGAACCTCCCAACCAGGAATTGGCAACCCTAGTTTTCAGTCCAGCCAGCAGAATCAAGGAAGATCCGTCTGCGTTACATTTTACGTTTTCTTTCTTTTTTAAGTACCCGAGGGTACACTTTTATTGTTGTTTTTACATTATATACTACAAACATACATACACCCAACTACCCCCAACAACACTTCTTCTGCTTATTAAATTTCTAAATTCATTATCTATTTTGCTAAGCTTATCTTTTCTGCGTTCTCAAATTACTACATTTATCTATCAGTTGTGTTTAAAGGGGCCGCGGTGGCTCAGAGGTTAAGACGCTGAAGCTGCAGACTGGAGCTGGGGCCAGAGACGGGAGCTCACTCCATCACGCGGCACTAGGGTCTCGAACTGGAAGGTCTGCAGCTCGGCAGTTCGAGACCCGGGTGCCGCGTGATGGAGTGAGCTCCCGTCTCTGGCCCCATCTCCTGCCAACCTAGCAGTTAGAAAGCAAGAAATTGCAAGTAAATAGGTACCGCTTCGGTGGGAAGGTCACAGCGTTCCGTGCATCTCAGCATTTAGTCATGCCGGCCACATGACCATGGAGAAGTCTTCGGACAGCGCTGGCTCTTCGGCTTGGAAATGGAGATGAGCACAACCCCCTAGAGTTGGACTCAACTGGGTTTCGAGCAAGGGAAACCTTTACTGATTCCTGTTTTAAACCTGTTTCTCAGTGAAGTTCTATTCCTGGTGCCTGTAAACTGCCTTTAACTGGGAGACAGCATATAGCTGTGCTAGCCTGGGCCTGATACATTAAAAATTCCCCCAACCGTCTGGAAACGGAGCCAGTCTGCTGAGGAAAGATGCAGCGCCTCCATTCTCCACAGAGGGTTAAACTAGACCTGCACGTCCCTTGACTGAATGCGGCAGCCAGTGGCACCTCCGACGTGTGCTCGGCTCCCTACGGAACGGGCAGCAAAGATTTCAGAATGGAAACAGCCCCGTTCAGGGGTGTGTGAGCAACAGAGCCTCGCGAAGCCACTGGGAGCTAGACTGAGTGAGCCACTAGCCTGGGTTGAGAACCCACAGTGTGAGTAGCTGTTAATGTTTAATTATCTCACTCACATGTTACTGTTATCACGATTTGTGTGACCTTGTGAGCCGCCCTGAGCCCATTCACAGGGAGGGCAATATAGGAATTGAATTAAATAAATAACATTTGGAATTTCTGACACATCATGGTGGGCCCCGGTCACAAGACAGCCACCACAAAATGGCCGCCACAGGAGGTGAAGCCAACCACAAAATGGCCGCCACAGCCGGCCTTCAGCCACACAGTGAAGATCTTTGTCGTGTGGCGTCAGCTGCTCCAACATGACATAATTTAAAATCTGAAGCGCCAATCCGATCTCCACTGGCAATCAGAAACCTTGCTGGGCCAAAGCCCCCACCTGGCACTGCCCACTTGGCGGACTCCACGAAAGGTGCCCACAGGTGCCACAGTGTCCACGGAGACCGCATTGGGGACCCCTACACCAAGAGACTGCTGGCACCTCAGGGCCCAACTCTGAAACAACCCGCTGCCCCCTACTCATAATCTAAAGGGAGTGTTTACTTGGTCTTTTTCCGGGTAGACACCGGCTCGGAGGAAAGAGGCCTTCCAGCTGTCCACGTCTTCCTGGGAGTCGCAGGCAAGCTCAATCTGACGCAGATCTTTGTACACGTTCCTAATCCCAGGATTGGGGGGGGACAGAGGGGGAAGGACATAAATGGCACTGAATCAGTAAGGGGAGGCGGGGGGAATTCCAGGTCCTGAAAAAAGAATTCTGTTACTGGAACATCACACACAGACTTCTATTTGCAAAACATCTGCAGTTTCTATTGCTGCAGTAAAATCTGAGATGATGAGAAGGGTTAACCGATGCCACCCTAACAGGCTTCGCAGGGATAGCCACACTACACTAGTGTCTAGACGAGGGCTGTCGAACTCATTTGTTACGAGGGCCGGATCTGACATAAATGTCACTTTGTCGGGCCGGGCCATGCGTGCCGTAAAACGTAACGCTAGGTACCGGAGATAGACACTCTATTAAGGACAGAAGTTGGTAAGTTCCAAGTTGGTGTGTCCTCACTGCATGGGATGGGACGGGGGGTCCAAAGGAAAACCCATATGGGCGGACTGGAGAGCCAGTGGTGCAGCACTGGGCAGACACTCCCACGCTGCTTGACTGCTGCAGATGAGGTTGTTCCACCACGCTGAAGCCACAATCGGAATGGCTCCGCCCACTCCCCCCCCCCCAACAGTGTCCTGTTCCTTCCCTTGCACTAGTTGCTTGCGGGCTGCATAAGAGCTGTGGGCGGGCCGGTTCTGGCCCCTGGGCCTTACGTTTGACACCCCTGGTCTAGAACAACTGTGTTTGCCGAGAACGCTGATGTTCCCAATTGCTCCCTACGTTCTAGATGGCACTGCAGACCTTTTGCCCCCATCTGTCTTTCTGCTTGCTCTCCCTGTTCACCTAGGCATGACCTGTCTTGTTATGCCTTTTGTTAATTTGAAGAGCTTGGAGTGGGGGTGGGGGCAATCCCCGGAGCCGAGAGACACTGCAAGCACCGTCACGTGAGTTCTTTTCAAAAAGCAGTCTCTCTAGCACTGGCTTGGGATGGAACGTAGTGCTGAACGTTCGGACTCAACGACTGCTGTGCACTGTTCATCGGACTCCCCTCAAGATCAACCACAAGGCTCCAATTCGTCCACAACACTGCAGCTCGACTATTCGTGGGAGCTAGACGGAGTCTACATAGGACTCCTGTTCTACAGGCACTTAATTGGCTGCCCATCTGTTACCAGACTCAGTTTAAGGTGTTGGCCATCACATGCAAGGTCCTGTGTGGGTTTGGCCCCTCTTGACCATGGGACCACCTCCCCCCCATGCGCCGCCACAAGAGCTTTGCTCACATCGGCAGGGGCTTCTGCAGGCGCCAACCTGCAAACGGGCAAAATCAACAGCTGCCCGTAGACGCACTCCCTCTGTTTGCGGCTCTCGACTTATGGAATGGCCCTGCCTGAAGAGATCGGGAGGAAGGCTTCCCCCTCTCCTGGCCTCCCACAGATGCAAAACTGAATGACTCAAGAGGGCTCTTCTGTGCACCTAATCAGGCCGCAGCGCACAAAATGGCTTCACAGACCTCCTGGGATAAACCGCTCGGGATGGCGGTCTATACTACTGTGTATAGCTTATTGTAAGTAGGATCCTATTGTGTCATTTCTGTACCGCTTCATGTGTCCTGTTATGCTACGTTTCAATTCTTTCTGGTGGTTCCAGACTTTGAAAATGCTGATGCACTGGTAGGTTGGATACCTTATCTGTCAGTTGTATTGACTCACTATGTGTGAACCGCCACAAACCCCTGTGAGAAAGCTGGACTATAAATAAAGCAAGTCAATAAATTGAATCATGTGTTCTAGGCAGGTCATGTATGGAACTTAGAATCATAGAATCAAAGAGTTGGAAGGGAACTCCAGGGTCATCTAGCCCAACCCCCTGCACAACACAGGAAATTCACAAATACTTCTCCACCCACCCCGTGACCCCGGCTCCATGCCCAGAAGAGGGCAGGGGGAAAAAACCCCTCCGGGATCCCCGGACAAACTGGCCTGGAGAAAAATTGCTTCCTGACCCCAAAGCGGCAGTCAGCATTTCCCTGGGTGTGTAAGAAAGGGCCACGAGAACTAAGCACTGAGGCAGGCCTTCCTGCCCTCCCTTCTCATGATCTGCCTAAGTTCACAGAATCCGCATTGCTGTCAGATGACCATCTAGCCTCTGAAAACCTCCAAAGAAGGAGAGCCCACCAATGTTCCCTCTAAGCTGTGGAGTCTTGTGAGCAAAAATTCTACTTTGTGAGCTACTGGTATTGAAGTTGTGAGCAAGCGATTTGGCTACTGCATACATTAGTTTGCTCTGGAGCCATCTTTCCTGAGCGAAGACAAAAATGTGTGAGCCGGAGACTAAAAAACTGTGAGCTAGCTCACACCAACTCAGCTTAGAGGGAACACTGCCCACCACCTCCCGTTCCTGTTGTTGGTTCTGGTCCGACCTTCCTGGGCAACAGAAAAGAACTCGACAAGTTTGTTATACAAAGCTTGACTGCCTCTTAAAGGGTATTTCAGGTTTCTGGTACAAGTTACTCTTCCTTTCTTCAGCCTTGAACAGGCCAGCCAAAATGAAGATATATACTGTTTGTTGTCCAAATGTGTTATGAAAGGCTGATCCTCTGCCAAACTAGCTCACAACTCAAAGAACAATGCCGCACAGAGGATTCGATGTCCAGAAAAAAAGAGCATTGTGAAAAGAGTGTCTACCGGAACGTGCTCAGAGCGGCACTGTATCATGCTTCTAGAAGGCACAAAAATCAGATAATAACATCTATATAAGCTATATGGCCTAGATAATAACATCTATATAAGCTGGCCACACCCTGTAACCCCTGAATCTCAGCTCTGGAATTCAGTAAAATCTGCTTCCCCCTTTTTTGGCAAAGCTCCCGGTCAAAAAGCTTTGAAACTTAACCTCTTTTCTTTAAAGTAAACTTAGGTAGAATAGGAATGACACTGCCAGCAAGCTGCCGAAGGATCATTCTTGTTTCTATAAACATTCTGGGATTTGAGTCATGCGATGTACTTGTTTGTATATTCCCCCCCCCCCAGTCATCTGCTCATATAGGCATGCGCATAAGTCCATAGTAACTGCATTCCTGTTAGACTACGCCAGCCATGCTTTGCTGTAACGTTATCTTTTCCAAGGTCACAGGTGGTCGAGAGAAGAACCTTGCTTTGACTTTAATGAGTAGAAACTGTGAGAAGCGTTTTGTAGTGATAACACAGTTGCCGTTGCTTTCCCAAGGATTTGGGCGCGTAAAATGCTTCCTAGACGCGAGCGGGAACCATGTTTATTGGCTGTAACAATTATGAACTTGCTTTAACCTTTCCAGCATCCTGCACTTGCGTTATTCTGAACAGTGCTTCTGTTCAAGTGACTCATGGCTTCAATAAAGTAATCCCTTTCTATAAGTGTGTACTCCGATGATTGCTGTGGAACCTGACAGACACCTGTGCTTACACAGGACTGATTTCTATGAGGCACGCTCTGTGTTCAGTAACGTTTTGTTTAATCGGATCGGGCGGCCACTGCAGCCACCTCACAGGGTTCTCAAGGCAAGAGATGTCCAGAGCTGGTTTGCCATTGCCTGCCCCTGATATTCCCTGGTGGTCTCCCATCCAACTACTAACCAGGGCCAGCCCTGCTTAGCTTCTGAGACCTGGCAAGATGAGGCTAGCCTGGGCCATGTGGGTCAGATCTACAGTTAGATAACTGTCAAAATAAATTTCAATTTTTATTTTTTTAAATGAATACACCGTGCAGTGGCTGAGAAATACAGAGCTTTTCACTTTGAACCTGGAACACGTGACCAAACCTCAGTCTTTCCCTTACAGGCTGAGGGCTGCTGTGCCCCTGTGGCGATTGAAGGTTTTGAGCGAGCGCTCCGTTGCCAATGGGTTCCTTCCATTCACTCAGAGAGGCCATAGTCTCCTTGTGACGGTTCCAAGTCACGCTCCCTTACCGGGGGGACCGAACCACCCCCACCGAGGCTCTGGGGAGGCACAGGCGGCTCCACTCCCACCAACATGTGAGTGTGTGTGTATATTTATTGGTTTTAAATATTTTATGTACACACGCATCCAGAAAATATACATATGCAGATTACGTTCCTATTGTCTCAAAGGTTTCAATCTCCACCTCCTTTGGGATCGTGAGTCAGGTGGAAAGGGGGCACAGAAATGTTTTGAATAAAATACAAACAAATGTCGTGTAAACCATAAACCATCTCCTTCCGTGTGTCCCTGTGTGCCAACTACGGTCCTCGGGCAGCCATCTGTTGGCTCTCCCGCCGCTCAGGGCGGCCCATCTGGCCCTGACCAGAGCCCAGGCCTCTTCCATCGTGGCTCTGGCCCTGTGGGGTGGGCTCCCTGAAGAGGGCAGGGGGCCCTAGTGGGCGAAGTCTAATGGGCAAAGATGACTAACATTAGGGGTAAGAAAAGGGGGGGGGGGAATAATGATGTATTGATAAAACTCCATAGGGTGTGCTCATGGTTACAGTTATAATAATAAGGTTCTTCTCCTGGTCGCTCATGAAGGGGGGGAGGGAACGATAAAGGGGAAAATTGATGTAAACTTGATGAAAAGGATTATGAATCAATGTGAAATGTAAGACATCAGTACAAATAATTTTTTTAAAAAAATTAAACATGACGAACGTTAGGCAAAGTCAAAGGCAAGTTTCTTCTTTTGCCAATATTACTAGAGCAACTCGAATGATAAAAGGGTTGGAACACTTTCCCTATGAGGAAAGGTTGAGGCGCTTAGGGCTCTTTAGCTTGGAGAAACGACGACCGAAGGGTGACATGATTGAGGTTTATAAGATTATGCATGGGATAGAGCAGGTAGAGAAAGAGGTACTTTTCTCCCTTTCTCACAATACAAGAACTCGTGGGCACTCCATGAAACTGCTGAGCGGTCGGGTTACAACGGATAAAACGAAGTCCTTCTTCACCCAAAGAGTGATTAACACATGGAATTCACTGCCACAGGAGTGGTGGCTACAAGCATGGACAGCTTCAAGAGGGAACTGGATAAACGTACGGAGCAGAGGTCCATCAGTGGCTATTAGCCACAAGGTATAGATGGGAACTCTCAGGCTGGGGCAAGGGATGCTCTATATTCGGGCGTGGGGGGGGGGGTCAACAGTGGGAGGGCTTCTAATGTCCTGGCCCCACTGGTGGACCTCCTGATGGCATCTGGTATTTCTGGCCACTGTGTGACACAGAGTGTTGGACTGGATGGGCCTTTGGCCTGATCCAACATTGGCGTCTCTTATGTTCTTATGTACTAACGCAAACAGACCCACCACCCCCCAGGGACTATCACAGCCCTTGTTTTGCTACCCTGAATAGGAACGCGCAGCTCAATTCCCATTAAGGCCTTTTGCAGACAAGGCGAGATGACCACGCCTCTTCCGGGCCAGACAGCTACTTCCTAGCTAGCTTATTCCCATGACGGGAGCAAAAGGTCTAAGAAGGTTTTCCCCACATGCTGCAGCCAGAGAGAGCTGACCGGAGTGGGTCATAAGGGCCGTGTCACTTCACTCCTGCTCCACCTACGCTGGCTTCCCGTTTTCTTCTGGGCTCAGATTCAAGGAACTGGCCTTGACCTTTAAAGCCCTAGGTGGCTGGGGAGCAAAACACCTTAAGAACCCCCTCCCTCCCACATGAACCTGCCTGCACACGCCAGTCATCCTCGGAGGCCCTGCTTTGGTTGCCCACGCCATCTCGGAACTAGATGGGTGGCAACCCAGGAAAGGGTTTTCTCACGTGCAGAACCAAAACTTTGGAACTCTGGTCTCCAGAGAGATTGGTCTATCTGTCTATTGGTGGGTCTTTCGGCAGCAAGACATTTTTGTTTTCTCTTGCATACCCCAATAACATCAGAAGAGCCCTGCTAGATCAGACCCGTGGTCCATCTAGTTCAGTGGCCAGTCTCGCACAGTGGCCAGCCGGTTTCCTCTGGACGGCCAACAAGCAAGGCATAGAGGCCGAGGCCTTCCCCTGATGTTGCCTTTGAGATTCAGAGGATTCGTGCCTCTGAATGTGGAGGTTCTCCTCAGCCACCACTGAAAGACTTGTCCTCCCTGAATCTATCTTAATCCCCTTTGAAAGCTGTTCATTCCTGGGGCCAGCACTACATCCTCTGGCAGAAAATTCCACATTTTAATCACTCTCTGTGGAAAGTTGTATTTCCTGTTGCCCATCCTGAACCTACTGCCCATCAGCTTAATTGGATGCCCTCGAGTTCCAGGCATTAACTTCATAAACCTCCGTTTCGGTCCCCACCTGGTCACCTTTTTTCCAAACTGAAAATAACAGTGGTCGGCCCTCCTTCTACTGCTGCTTGTTTACATGCTTTTAATTGAACCGTTTTATCATTTTAACTGTCTTTAAATTGCTTACATGTTGTAACGCTTCTTCATAGTTGCCGTCTTACGGACCCTGACTGGGTGGTGAGGACAGCATTTTTAAAAAAACGTTCTAAACAAATAAATGAATGATGGGTCTTCCCGGTGGCGCGGCAGGGCCTCCTCCACCATACTCAGACGGCAATTCCTTACCTCTGTTCTGTGTTAAAGATGGCAAAGACATGCTTCGTGGACATGAACCCTTTCTCCACATCTCTGATTTTGAGGTTGTCCAGAGGCAGCATGTATTTCTTCTCTTTCTCCTATCAGAACACAGAATACAAGCAAAGCCACAGGAGTCACGGCGGGCCTTGGGGGATCCAGTAGGAATCGTCTTCGTAAGAGAATCCCGCTCAAATAGTTGCATGGATTTCGAGGGAGTGCCTATTAGATTTGCTGAAAGGAGGGCATCAGCCAGGACTGGTTAAAGGCCCGGCTTAGAGCAGCAGCTTCTCTCCATACTATCCCACGGGACTCAGCGGACGTTGCTACCGGACTCTGCCGCTTTGTTCTCACCCACAACTACTTCAAATTCAAACTCAACTGCAAGAATGTGTACTGGCACGATTAAGAGCTCCCTAACTGTCCTCAGCCCTTCTTCGTCCTATATGCACAGTACGGGAAAGGCCGAGGGGACTGAGTCGATGGTCCACACCAGAGACTTCTCCCAAAAACTTCCCAAAGGGGCTTCCCTGCATTGAGGCAAGAGACCACCACCCCGTCCCGGGGCACTCGGGCAACAAAAAAGAGCCTTCAGCCTGAACTTAAAAACCCTTCCCCGAGCCCTAGACTCCCAACAATTACGGAGCAAACTCCACGCCAAGTGCAGTTCCCGCAAGGCACCTGCTATCCGATGAGCAAACTAAAGAAGTGGATAATCTACAGACTCACCAACCCCATTCATCCAAATACCTGCTGCCAGGGGTCATTTCGTAGAAAAAGAGGTGCAGGAGCTCATTAGCATAACTCATTAGCATATCTTATTTGCATACACCGGAAGTGTGTCAGAAGGCAACACCCACCGCTCAGGCTCCACTGGACTCTTTTGGATTGCTAGCTATTGGGGGGGGGGGGGGG